TTGGGGACCAAATTAGACTCCCCACTTTTAATTTTTCTACTTAGGACAGGAGTCCTTGTGTAGTGAAAATGGCTGAGAACTTAGATTCAAATTTGGAGGTTGGAGGTTTGAATCCACCCAGAAGTGTCTCGGACGAAAGGCCTGGTGAACTTCATCTGAAAAATGAGCCATTGACAAGGGTTAGAAGGAGGAAATAGTAGAACTATGAGGCACAGTTTTCCTCTGACACCTATGGAGTCATCACAAGTTGGAGCTGACTCAATAACAACGGGTTGGGTTGGTTAGAAGAAATGATATAAATTAAAAAACAATTGATCAAACAAACCACACAAGCAAAAAAGAATGATCCCCATTCTTTACCATCCCCATTATTTCATAAGGAAGGGTTGCTTGAAGCTGTCAAAATAGGGACATGCCTAGTCTCAGAACGGGAAACACTTTTGGCAACTTTACCCCATGCAGACAGACATGATGCCATGGCCTTGTTTGTCTTCACCCTGCCCCCACCACATGCTTCTTCAGCCTGCTTTTCTTCAGACCGTTCTGGGTGGTGTTTGGGACCCAGCTGGAGGTGATTCATTTCTCTACAGGAAGCTGAACTCTTCAGTGGCTTTTTGCATGAATGGAGGAGCAGGGATTGACTCTGGTTGGTGGTTTCAAGGCTGTGAGAAGAGGTGTGAAGTCAGCATTGTACCCCTGAGTGCTTTAGGCTGCCTGCCTCTCACATGCAGTCCTTCCTGTCTCTCCTCCACTCTGTGTGGGTGGCTCCAGTGGTCCCTTCCTTTTTCTGTTCCTCCAGTTTTGCTAGCCTCCTTTCTCCACCAGTTGAATCCACCAGTTACTTCTCAGGAGAAATATGGACAAGTCTCTGACTCAGGGCCCATAAACAACAGATGTTAACCATTGTTGTTTTGTTATTATCACCACTGTCACACCTACTGTTATTACACTCTGGGCGCTCAAGGAATGTTCCTTCTTCCTTCTATGTTAACCGAAGGCACTAAAAAAACTTACTACCACCATTGAAGCTGAACTGAACTCACAGCCAACCATCCGGTGGGTTTTCAGAGGCTGTAAGTGGCATCAGAGGAGATTGCCCATCTTTTCCCTGAGGAGCAGCTGGTGGCTTTGAACTTTTAGAGAAGTTTCACCTTTGGATTAGCAGCACAACTGTCTATAGACTAGGCCACCAGAGCTCCCTAACTGGAGGGAGACGTTGTTGTTGTTATGTGCCGTTGAGTTGAGTATGATTCAAAGCAACCCTGTGAACAACAGATATGATCCCTGTTCTATCCTGCGACGTCCTCACACTTCTTGACACATTAAAGCCCATGGTGGCAGTCACTGTATCAGTCCACCTGGTCGAGGGTCTTCCTCTCCTTCGCCCACCCTCCACATCATCATGTCCGTCTCCAAGGAATAGCAACATGCCCAACGTATGTGAGGTGAAGCCTCATCATCCTTGCCTCCAAAGAGCACTCAGGCTGCACCCTGTCCTAGACATATGTGTTTGTTCTTTTGGCAGGGAAGCATTTGAAAATGGAAAACATTCAAGGGGAAAGAACTTTACCTAAATGGGAAAAAATGAGGACTTGTTTACATTTCCTTGTTCTGTGGCTCACTTTTCTTTATTTGCCTCAGACATGTGGGTCATCAAGTTGGATAGCATTTCAGAGCTCAGTGCCTTTGTAGAACAGGGATAGCAGTGAGATGAGGTGATCACACAGGCACACAAACCACGTGGCACTGAGATATAGTTGTTGTGTTGTTGTGTACCATCAAGTCAGAACCGACCCATAGCTGGCCTTCCAGTGGGTTTTCAGAGACCGTAAATCTCACAGAAGAAGCTGGCCCATCCTCCTCCCTCAGAGCAGCTGGTGGATTTGAACTGCGAGCCTTTGGCATTGCAGTGCAGCTTTTTTCCACTAGACCACCAGAACTTCCTGAGATACAGTAAGCCTCAACAAAAGTTGGTGCTAGTAATATTAGTAGGTATTTTTTGTGTTATGCTTTTAGTGTTATTTCTGTTCCAGTGCAGTGGCGGCTTTTGGGTTGCAAAGTGACCGGAAGCTATGCCAACAGTGTTTCAAATGCCACGAGGGTCACCTATAACAGACAGGTTTCAATAGTGATTCCAGACTAAGACTAGGAAAAAAGGCCTGGTGATTTACTTCAGAAAACTAGCCAGACTATCGTCACGTATCGTGCTGAAAGGGAAGTCTAGTGGCATCGTCTTTAGGGAGTAGATCCTAAGACTGTATCTCTGGCACTTTAAATCCACCAGTGGTTTGGAGGGAGAAAGATGGACAGTTTCCTGTCATGCCCTTTGCTACCTTGGGAACCCCCTGCAGGGTCAGCTTCCAGAGTCAATTCTGACTCAATGGCAGAGTGAGTGTGAGACAGCTCCAGAGGCACCAAAACACACCACACTCACAACGGTGGACTCACATACCCCAACGGTGTGGATGGTGGAGCATCAGGCAAGGCTTCAGTCTGATGTACACGGAGGGACCCTCAGAGCCAACTTCACGACACTTAATCATCATAAGCATCATAAGTTACTTCTCTCTGTGTGTCAGTTTCCTCATCTGCCCAGTGGAAATGATTATTGTGAACAATGGTGCAAAGTTGTTTGAAATGGCTTGAGTTAGGGATTCCCATAATCGTCTCAAGAACTTTTTTTTGGAGGAAAAAAAAAAATCTTATGATTTAAAACAATTTTATTCTTTGTTAAAATATTTCATTAATTTTGTGACCATTTGTGAGTTACTAGAGATAATACCAAAACAGCTCTCCCACTTGACCCATCAAGAAATCCGAGCTTTCTCTGGGCCACATACCATGTTGGGGTCAGAGCTGAGAGCAGAAATTTTATGGTCTTTTTTTTCCTGATGCATTTTTTCTTTTTAGATTTGAGGAGACTTTTTCAAATCTTGTTGACTCAGACCCAACTCCAGGATTCTGAAGCCTTAGATTGCATGAGCCTAACAGGTCCCCAGATGGTGCTGAGCATGGGCTGGGCTAGGGGAACAGTTAGCCATGTTTTCTCTTAGTGCTGCCCTATCCCCTGGATCTGCCATCATTCTAGTTCCCCATTACCCTCTGTTCATCCTTCAGTCACCCCTGATGTTAGTCTAGATCTCTGCAAGGCTGGGCTGAGAGGAGGAACACATGTGGACAAGAAACTGGGTGCCTCCCATGAATTTTTATTTTTTATCTGATTCTGAGTTCTGTCATCAACTTGCTGTGTGACCTTGGACAAGTTGCTTTCCCTCTCTGGGTCTCTGGGTTTTCTTCTGTATAAATGGGGAAGTGAGACATAGTCATATGTCTCTTCCAATATTGCTTGTGTATGATTTTTCTCCCCTCCTGCTAGAAATTCTCTCCTGACCAGAAGCAGGGTCACTCTTGCCCTCCCCTCCTTGCTAGTCCTTTGTTCTGCCCCTGGCTCAGAGAGCCTATCTTTGTGTAAACAAATTTCCATGATCTATTTAACTTCTGGATGACAAAATGATGAGCTGAAAAGAAAATAACTATCTTGTGATGCAGAAATGTTCCACTCTGTCACGGCTCAGCCTCTGAATCCCAGGGCCACATTTGCTGCCAAGTGCTGGCCCCTTGTCACGGATCTCACTTGTCCTTGGCCTCTTACTGCCTGGAGGGATTTCTGCAGAATCCTGGTTCTCATGCGGTTCTCATGCGAGAGGAGCCTTGCCAGAGCGTCTGGTCTGTATCTGTTATCCTACTAGGTGGCGCCAAGCCCACCCAGGAGGATGAGCATTTGTTGTTTTTTTTTTTTTTCAATTGCAAAAACATGTATAGCAGAAAATGAAAGTGTAAATAGTGCTTATAATTGGTCGTATATATGCTTCCATTTTTTTTCCTTCCTGTGTCATGTGGCTTATGTGTTACTATGATGCTGTGAATCTGTATTGCTATATTTCATATTGGAAGCTCTGATGGTTTAGTGGTAAAGAATTCTGCTGCCAACTCAAAGACGAGCAGTTCAAATCAACCTGCTGCTCTGTGGGAGAAAGATGGGCAATCTCTTCCTCCCGTGCAATTTACAACTTCTGAAAACCCACTGGAGGGTCAGCTATGAGTCAGTTCTGAGTTAGTAGTACGTACAGCAACAACATTTTATGTACTTTACAGAAAAATAATGTCATAAAAATATACTTCTCAGCATCCGTGGATCAAACCCTATGGACTCTTTCTTGCCTTACATTGTTCACATATCATGTTATGTCATCAATATTTTTATAAGCTATATTTAAAGGTTTTCTTACATTATACATATATGGATGGCTAAGAAAACAAATCAATCTATCTTGGAGAGGGTGAAACCAAGTTACTCCTTCTCCTTGGAGACTAGGATTTTGAAGCTCTGTCTCACATACTTTGGGCACATGACCAGGAGGGACCAACCCTTGGAGGAAGACATCATGCTCAGAAAGGTGAAGGAACAGGGTAGGAGAGGAAGACCTCTGATGAGATGGATGGATACAGTAACTAGGGCAATGGGGTAGATACATTGGAGTCAGTGAGACTGGCTCAGGACAAGGCAGGCTTCAGAGCTGTTGTACACAGGATTGTTATGAGTTGCAGGCAACTCAACAACACATAACAACAACATATATGTGTCTGTCATAACTAGGGAGTTCTGGTGGACTAGTGGATAGATAAGGAGTTACACTGCCGACCCGAAGGCAGGCAGTTCAAATTCACCAGCTACTCCACTGGAGAAAGACGGACAGTCTCCTCCTATGTGATTTACAACTTCTGAAAACCCACTGGCTCAGCTCCAACTCAGCAGCACGTAACAACAACAGCATATCGTTACGTGTACAGCTTGTCCCTCATGATTGGTCATTTGGTCATTTCCACTTTTATGTTCCTTTAAGTGATAGTGTGATGAATTTCCCCCTGCTTTTGGATGCCATCAGAGTACATGCTGGGGATCCTTCACCACTAATCACCACCATTTCTTCTGTCTACAGATCCTGAGAATCTTGAAGTTGACGTTGCAGGGTCCTCCTTCATTCCGGTGAGCAGCAGGCAGATTTGGGCTTATTTCCAAGCTCTGCCACTAACTAGAAATTTGGCCTTTTCCACCTTTTGCAAAACAGGCTAATTGGAGTTCTCATGTCACAGGCATGTCGCTTCAGCAGCACTGACCTGGCATGTAGGCCCCTTCTTTGTCAGCTCCTGTTTGATCTCTGGGCTCTTTGGATGTCACTAATGGTTTAGCTTGAGACTTTCATTAGGCTCATCCAAGCCCCTTCCCCCATGGACTCCTGGTGTCATAATTTGCTGCAAAGAGGATTACCTCTGAAGCTGCTTAACAAACTCTTTGAATAATCCAATTTCGCAACCATCTATATCTCCTCTGTGCTCCTTAATTCCCTAAATGCTAAGCTGGGAAGCTCAGCTACTTCTGGAGCTTGGCCGCACAGGGAGGGAGCCCGGGACTGCTGGGCCTTGTAGATATTTTGTGTAGGACACCTGTAGGAGGAGCTCTGGGGAAGCCCTGGCTGTCCGGGCCACGGGGAGACCCCATCATGGGCCCTGGCACTAGTGAAGACTTGGGCTGGTATGCCTTGCATTTGCTATCTCATATGATTTTACAACCCAGTGAGGAATTAGAATCCGTGACTCATGAAGGGAATTGGTGGTTCAGTGGTAGAACTTTCACCTTACTCACAGAAGACCTGGGTTTGATTCCTACTCAGGGCACTTTATATGCAGTTACCACCCATCTGTTGGTGGAGGCTTATGTGTTACTATGATGCTAAATAGGTTTCAGCAAAGCATCTAGATGAAAATTGACTAGGAAGAAAGACCTGGCAATCTACTTCCAAAAATCAGACAATGAAAACTCCTGGATCACAACACAACCCATACTAATAATGGGGATGGCCCAGGACTGAGCATTTCATCATGTGTGTGAGGTTGTTGCAAGTTGGGGGCTGACTTGACGGCCCCTCACGACAGCATTCTTCAAGGGAGGAAAACTGAGGCCTGGAACCTGCTCAAATTAGGCAAAGTGAACTAACTCAGTTCCCATAAGGACAAATACTGTATAAAACTATTATTGTAGAAATAGATAACTAGTAAAAGGTGTATGAGGATCCAAAGGGGGTAGGGGGTAACAGAGGGGTGAAGATGGGGTGGGGGTTAATCATAGGGTCACATGATTTGATGGGTAGAGAGAAGGGTAGGTAAAGGAAAAGGGGAAGATCCAGTGTGAAAAACAATGTATACGAACTTTGTAAGCAAACCAGTAAAAAATAAAAATTTTATTAAAAAAGAAAAAAGAAAAGAAACCCACTCAAGGTTACAAAGCTAGTAAGTGGTGCAACTGGGGTGCTTTCCCCAGCAAGTGGCAAGAACTTTTAAGCATAAATGCTGCTTCAGCGTATTTGTTGAGTCACCTCTGTGGAAAGTGCTGTGTCCTTAAGCTCTCCGTGGAGAGGGAGGTGGAAAGAAAGCCCCACTTGGAGCAGGACAGATAGATCCACACAGGGCACTTGCCACAGTGAAAAAGCTGAGAGCGATGAGCCAGATGTGGGGAGGTTGGTGGAGTACAGAAAGGAGCTCCTTGGGGGGGTGTCCAGGAGTTGTGAGGCGGAGGTGCCGGACCTGGGTTCCTCCTCACACCCTGGGGTCACCTGCAGAGCCCGGCTAACAGCGAGGAATATCTCTTCTAGGTATTAACTACTGAGGCAGCCAGTGATGAGAATACTCCCCCTCTATTTCCTGCAAACACCACAAGCCTCCCAGGTAAGGACTGGGGGTCAGCACATGTCTGCCCTCTGAGGAGCGCAAGAAACTCGTCTCTGTAGAAAGCCCTTTCATTACATTGACTTTATGAAAAGGGTTCATAGTAGGACTATGCTGTTACTGCTTTATACATTCAAGTTTGATATTGTCAGTCAAGAAATAGAGGAATAGGCCAGATAAGTCACACAGTTCACCCTCAGCCACAGTACACGTGAATGTGTTACCAACAGAATGATTAGAGGCTGAAACGGAATACAGATTGAGGGGAACTTTAGTTTTGAGAGGCCTTGACTTTAGTGCTTCTAAATTGGGCCCAGACCTCCCAATAACTGCAAGACTGTGAAATTTTGCCAACATGAGAATCAAAGAAAATCCCAGGGCCTGTGTTTGTGTTAAGGAGCCCTGGTGGCACAGTGGTTAAGTGCTTGACTGCTAACCAAAAGGCTGGCAGTTTGGATTTCCCTCGTGATTCTGTGAGAGAAAGACCTAAGATGCGCTCCTGCAGAGGTCTCAGCAGGGGCCTCAGCCTGGGAAACGGTGCGGTGGAGCCCTGCTCTGTCTTGTAGGGTCTGTGAATCAGAATCCACGCTGCTCACAACAAATCCTTGTTTGATGTGTGTTGAATTTGTGGAGACTAGACTCCAGAGGTTCAGAAATTGAGCGGTTCCATTTGATGTTTCTTGGGCTTGATGGGGACGTCATGGGCTCCTTTACTTTTTGACCTGGGCAGCTTCCTGCCCTCACCTGCTGCCAGGTGCCCAGGCTGCGCCCTCCTGGTCTGCTGTGCCCCCCATGGAGTATCTGCTGGGGTGAAGCTCTGCATAGCTGGGGCCTCAGGGGCTTAAGCCCATCCATGTTCTCAGGGAGTCCAACAAGCAGGCTCTGACAGAGTCCACTAATTGCAATAAAAGGTGAAGCCTGGGCTAGGCAAAAAAGGAGGCACAGATAAAGTGAAATTGGAGTTTAGAGAGTCCAGAGAGCATATCCAATTGAGGATATGAAGGTTCTTGAAAGAGGAGTAATTTGAAATGGGTATGGGATAAAAGGATGGCAGGTGGGTGGGGAATGGTTGCTATGTTATAGGAACCTCAAGCCTTTTCCCTCCATCTTTATTGATGAGCTCATGCTGGCCCATACCTTCCTATGAGTGGTGGCCCCTAAATTTATATAATCATCCCTGATCATTCCCATAAACCTAGACTAATGTACCCTACTGCTTGGCTGTAATTGGCTCAAACTCAGCCTGTGTAAAGCACAGTGCTTGATGCCTCTTGTGGAAATCAGATCAATTCCCATTTCTCTGATACCACGTGTACTGATAAATCCCAATCAATTTAGTCTCTTTGACTTCTCTTCCAGCACTGGCTGCATATGTGGCAGTCTCCCTCTGACCCTAACAATCTGAAAGCAGATCAGCCTTCATAAGTTGAAGGAGTCAGTCATCTATAATACCAAGCCTGCCCAACACCTCACACACCAGCTGCCAGTTTGTAGTCCCCATGACCTGCTGGCTACGAATTTGAGATCTCTGCACTGTCCCCTCAGCTGTAAGTTCAGGGGTCTCCAGAACCTTCTTCGGTTCTTACCTCCTACCCCCCATTATTCCCTAAGAATTGATAATTTGCTAGGCCAACTCGTGGAACATAGAAAATACTGTACTGAGGATTATAGAAGGATACAGCTGAAGAGATGTGTGCTCATCGAAGCAAGATCTGGGAGAGTTCAGGGTGGAGCTTCCATGCCCCAGAAAGGCACATGCTACTCTCTTACATGCACTGATGTCTTTCATCAACCAGGAAGTTGTGGAACATCATGTCCATGGCTTCTACTGTGTCCTCTTTATAAAGTCAGGATTGATTGATCATGCTTCCTCCCCAGAGGCTGGCTGATACCTATCACAGGTTAGGTCACTGTGGCCTGCCCACACCCAACCCAGGTCATCTCACTGGACCAACCTGTTAGGTAGACATGGTCTGGAGGCTTCATCTCTGAATTTAATCACCAGGAAAACCCCAAGGTTGTAGAGATTATCTTTCAGGAACTGAGAACGAAGACCACATTCACAAAGTAGTTACATTCTTTTACCTACACTTTCCCACTTTCCCATCCTAATAACTAGCCCTACATTTTTCTGGCTTGGTAAATCCTATGGGGTCCACAAGCCTCTCTTGGAACCGTTATCCTGGAGCCAGCTTTCACCCCACACTTGGTCCTCATTCTTCACTCATTACTTTGAGACTAGTGACCACTTCTCACCACCACTTCTGCCAAGGATTAGCCACTGTTACCTCGTCTAGCTGGATTTCTCCCGGATGCTCAACACCATGTCCTTCAGAGTAAACGCCAGAGTCCTAGCAAAGGCCTCATGTTTGATGACACCCTCTTTCTCCTTCTCGCTTTCTGTGGCCCAGGCACACTTCCTTTCTGGCTCTGCCTCACACTGTCTTGGGAGTTTTGAACTGTTTGTTCCCTTGACCACTACGTATTTATTTGCCTTTCTCTTTGTTAAGAAGGTAAGATCCAGGAGAACAAGAACTTTAGTGCCATGTCTTTCTTAGAGTTCTCTTAATTTTTCCATTTTTCTTCCCCTTCTGTAGTACAAAATGCTTCTTCTGTACAATTGTCCACATTCCTGGTGGCTGGAGGAAGCCTGGCCCTCGGAACGCTCCTCTGCATTGGCATTGTGCTGAGGTAGGTGGGCCCTGGAGGGTGGCGCTGTGGTGTCCTCACATTTCTCATCTAGTTTTCTTTTGCTTGTTCAGTCAGTCAGACTTTTTTTTTATTATTATTTTTGTGTGTGTATATCATCAAATTGGATCTGACAGATACAGGAGGAGATTGTCCCTCCTTCTCCAGTAGAGCATCTGGAGGATTTGAACCACTCAATCAGACTTTTGTAGAGCATTCACCATTTGTTTATTCATTCCTCAAATGTGCACACACAAATAGCACCACAGGGGCGAGCAGAAAAGACCAAAGCTCCTGCCCTCATGGTCTAATGAGGCAGACCCAGAGACGTAATCACTAGTATGAGAAGAGTTACGATGAGGACAACTGGCCTGATGTTAAAGAAGAGTAAGAGGCATTGGTCGATGGAGTGATGGGAAGCAGACAGTTCCAAAGGAGAGAGGCAGCATAGAAGACGTTTTAGAGTCAGTGTGCATTTGGAAGGATGGTAATGAAGTAGCAGCTGAGAAGTAGAGAGAAATGGGACTGATGAGGTAGGCTGGAGCCAGGCCCTAGGCCTTGAAAGAGAGATGGAAGGATTTTAGACCTTCTCTACTGGAGAGTTCGAAGAACTTGATAAGGATGGCAATTTGAAAAGACCACGCTGGGTGCAGCTGGGAAAGGTGCAAACGGGTGCTGGTAGTTCAGTGTCAAGAGAAGGATAGTGGTAGTCCATGCTAGGGGGAGGCCATGGGTTGGAGAGCCATGGATAGTGTCCAGGTATGCTTAAGATATGGAATTGGCAAGTTTTGATGGCCGATTAGATGGGGATGATGAAAGAGAGGTAAGAGTTAAAGATGAAGGATGACCCTCTGGTTCCAGCCAGGTCATAGATCATTCTCTAAGATTGGAAACGCTGGGGGAAGAACATGTCTGAGGGATGACACTTCTACAATGGGATTTTCTAAGTTTGAGATGCTTATGAAAACACCCCTGGGAACCTTTTTGTCCAAAACATCATCAGCATGCTGATGGAGCAGATAGGAAGAGGAGGGAGAAGTGTATCTGGAAAAAGACAGCACCCAACTTCCCTGCGAACCAACTGAGTAAGGACAAGGATTGACTCCTCTGTGTGCTTCGTTCAGACGCTGGCAGTCAGAGAGAAAACAGGCAGCATGAATGCCTGAAAGGCCAAGTTCTGACCCCTCAGAATCAAGTCAGGCCTTTTAACAAAGTGGCCAGAGGGAGTAGGTGAGGGGAAGGAATGTGGGAAGGGTCTGGGAGAGAACTGCGCAAGGGACCTGATGAGGTTTTGTCCCATGATGTTTTCTCTCATGATGGCTGTCCTTGATATTTGAGGCAGATAGACATCAGTCGCCTTTGCTGATGGTGCATTCTTCAAGTCATTTTCCTGGTTTTTTACATCTGGATGATTTGATCACTAATCTTTAGTTTCTGGAATAATCATCTCACAGCTAACTATTCAGTCAGGTTAAAGGAACCTACATAGATAACTTTTACTCTCATCTTCCATTTTTATACTGTGTCTGAGTAAGCCGATTAAAGGACCTTACATAGACAACTTTCGCTATTGTCTTTAACTGTTGTTGTTACGTGCCATCAAGTTGCCTGCAACTCATAGCTACCCTGTGTACAGTAGCTCTGAACTCTGCCCTATCCTGAGCCAGTCTCTCCAACACATCTACCCCAATATTGTCACTGTGTCCACATTCCAGTCACTAGTGTCTGCTTACAACTGTTCCTTCTTATTTGGGTTTGCAGATTCGAGGGTTCAGCCTCATGTTCCATTTCTGCTAGTTTACTCTAAGTGTGTTCTGTTGTATATAGGGTTTTTTTAAATTTATTTTTTATTTTTATTTTTACTGTATTATTTGTGTGTGTGTGTACAAATCAAATCTGACTGGTACAGGAGGAAATTGTCCCTCCTTCCTCGGCAGAGCATCTGATGGATTCGAACCGTGCACCTCTGGGATTGCAGTGCAGCTTCTTGCCACTAGACCACCAGAGCTCCCCTGTATATAGGGTTTTGAAAGACCTGTTGTTTCAGAAGTGGGTGGCCAGTCCTTCTTCCTAGTCTGTCTTAGTTTGTATGCCCAGCTTTAGAACAGTATCTGTCAGACAAGCATTTTACTGAAAAGAGAGGGACATTTTGTCTTTAACTATGTCTGAGTAATCAGGTTAAAGAATCTTACATAGACAACTCTTATTATTGTCCTAAACTTATAAACGGTGTCTAAGGTCCTCCCACCATAAAAAAGCCTATAATAGAACCCCAAAGTACAGTGTGAAAGCCCACAACAGACTTAAGTACACCATTAAAACCAAGGTGCCTGGCTAGATGCCAGGAGAATATTCTGTCTAGCTACAAGCAGACATAAAAGGTTACAGTTAACTTTTCTGTCCTACCACTGTCCTCCCTGTATGGCAGGAAGCATGTTTCAGGCTGAGTTTGCCCCTGGTAGCTGCAATCCCGTGTGCCTTTCTTCTCATCTCTCTCTTGGTTCCGTCATTGGTTTTTATCATTCATTCCTAAACTCTCTGAAAGTCAGTTGACAGTGGCCCTAGTGATTGGGCAATAAAGAAAACTCCTCGTGTTCAGGAATTTAATACAGGAACTTGTGTTCTCTTGAGAGCCATTTGGGCAGGACCCCAACAGGATGGTAGTAGCCAGTAAAGAAGAAACTTCCTCCTTTCTCCCTTCTCTTCCCTCAGTTTAACTTTCCAGAAACTCCAGCGGGTGATGATGAGAGATGATCTTTGATGGTGTTTGGGAAGGGGAGTGTGCCTTGGGCAAAGAACTTTCCACATTTTAGTACGCTGAGTTCTTAAAGTTCACCAAGGGTGGATTGGGCTGGAAAATTAGCACAATGACAACGTGAACTGTGAGCAAGGGTAGGTTTTCTCATTTTGCTTTTTCAGTGAAGTAGTGAACAACCTGCCTAAGGGAGGTGCAGAAGATTTAGTGCCCTAAAGAGTGGAGCTGGCTCCTGGGAACACTTGAGGCCTCACTGCTGCCTTCTGTGCCTTTGGGCTAGAAAGAGCCCGTATCAGCACTGAACCTCATTGACACTCTCAGGGATTCTTTGGCTCTCCACTGGCACACACTTCCGCATTCTGCTTCGATTCCTACATCACTAGGTCTTCAGCAGGTCTTACTCATAAACCACTACAGAGACTACAGAGTGGCTGTCATGATTTCCATTTTACACAGGAGAAAACCAGAGCTGAAAAGAGGTGGAGTGATTTTAGTTAGTAAAGATCAGGATCAAGATGCAGCTCCAAAGCTCCTGCTTTTTGGGTAGGACTTTAAGGGTGAGCTAAGCAAATCCCTTAATTTTATCTGGCTTTTGAAAATTTAATTCAGCAAATGAGGAACTGAACTGGCTTACCTTAGAGGTGAATTGACTTGCCCAGGGACACATAGCTTCTGAATAACAAACTCAGGCTTGAACACGTGTCTGAGAATCCCAGCCTGCTGTTGGCCAAGAGGCAGCCCAACGCCTCTAACTCTATTGGGCTTTTTCAGTCCACTGTTGTCACTTAACTAGGTGGTAACATCTTGATGTGTTCTTAATGGCTGATATAGAAACCTTAGGTTGGAATTGGCCACAGTGCCCATCATAGAAACTCGTTTGCTCGTCTGCTGACAGTGCTTGGACACTGGCTTCGTTTTGTGAAACAACCAGAGTACCCAGAGGCACAGATGGGCAGGTGCCCTGTGCTGAGAACATATCACAAGAATTTATGTCCTAGTCTGGCGAGTTTTTATTTTCTTCCATGCAAGAATTATTGGGCAGATTTCTTTGGAATGAGACCAGTTGTTTTAAGTGATGAAAAACCCTGCTATTCCCAGAGTTTTACATGTGAAAAAACCCCCAAACAAACCCAACCTACAGATTCTGAGGAAGTCCATTGAGATGACCACATTTATAACAGGCCAGACGTGAGAGGCAGGTAGAAGTTCCTCCTCCCATTCCATGACATCATAGTTTTATTCTTTTTTTTTCTCCTAATTTTATTCTTAGTACATTATTTTATTTTATTGGTTTGCTTACAAAGTTTACATACATAGTGTTTCACACTATTCTTCATTCACATTGTGTTTCTCACAATCATTCTCATGCATTATTGTGGTTTTTATGTGCCATTGAGTCACTTGCGACTCATAGTGACCCTGTGTACAATAGCCCTGAAATTTGCTCTATCATGTGCCAATCTTACTGTCTCTGACACTCTCATCCCCATTACCCTAGTCACTGAATCAATCCATCTCATCGAGGGTTGTCTTCTCTTTCAGTTATGTTTTATAAAATTAATCACCATTGGACCTTGCCCATCATTACCCTGTCTTTTTGCCTGGATCCTTCCCACTTACTTCCCCCCTCCCTCTTCCCACCAAATTGTGAAGTCCTGTGGTTTCACCCCTATCTATCCTCACCCCTCCATTCCCCCCACCTTGAGTTCTTGTACGTGTTTTACTAGTTATCCTTCTATTTTTACAATAATGTTTTTATGCAGTAATTGTCCTTATGAGACTACATTAGTTCACTCAGCATAATGCTCTCCAAACTCTCCCAAGTTATGTAGTATTTTTCGAAATCTTTGCTCCAGGGAGCCCTGGTGGCCTAGTGGCAAGAAGTTGTACTGCAATCTCCAAGACATGGAGATCGAGGCCACCAACTGCTCTGTAGAAGGATGGGCAGTCTCCTCACGTGGGATTAAATGCCTCTGAAAATCCTGCCAGAGTCAGCTATGAGTTGGTTCTGACTTTATGGTACACAACCACAGTAACATTTATTTTGTGTTTCAGTTAATGCATAGTGCAGGAGTGGCATCCACTTTTGAAATAGCTTGCCTCAGGAAACTCTGTGAACTTAGAAAAATGATGAGAGTTATGCGTGTTCAGGACTTTTCGTTCATAGAGTTGCTATGAGTCATCTACGACTCAATGGCACTTAACAACAAACATATTTTCATAAATTCTTCCAACAAGGCCCTTTGACATAGTGTGTTAAGCATTGAGCTGCTGAACCCATGGTAGAGAGATGAGATGTCTGCTCTGTAAAGATCCCAGCATTGGAAGCCCTGTAGGGCAGTTCTGCTCTCTCCCGTGGGGTCGTAAAGGGTCAGAATCGAGAGTGGGTTGGGCTGGTGACGTGCGTGTTCATGTACACGTGCCATTGCGGAGGTTCACCATCTTTGTACATGGAATGATGTAACTTTCGTGGGGCCAGTTTTCTCTCCCCTGTCCTCTCCTCCAGTCTATGTTTTTAGTCATTCTGTTATGAGAAAATAGGATTCTGATAGTAGAGAATCTTATTGTTGTCAGGTGGGGTCAGTCCTTTGACAAAGGATAGCATATCAGGAAAAGTAGAGGGTCTGTGAAAAAGAGGACAACTTTCAATGAAATGAACGGACAGCCTCTGTAACAGTGGAATGGAGCGTATTGGAGATTGTGAGGTTGGTACGGGACAGGGCAAGGTTCAGATCTGTTGATCATATGGTCATTATGAGTTATAGTTGACACCTAACAACAACAACAACAAAACAGAGAATTGCTTTTCTACATATTTACCTAGAATGGACTTAAAATTAGAGGAAGACTTCCTATGTATAGCTTATGATTTTAAAATAATTTTGTTTAAAAAAAAAATTTGTATTAAATGCAATCTCATTCCAAAATTTTATAATTACAGATTTCCCCATCTCTGTACAGGCAGGGGAGGTTTGTAGTGTCCTAGGCCATGGAAGTGGCTGGGTGCAGTGGGAACTTTCTGTGGTCTTGATGGGGGGGGCCTTGATTTCATCTTTGGATGTGTCTATTAAAACAGTGAGGGTTATTATGAGTTGTGGGGTTTTGTTGGTTTTTTGAAGTGTTTTTGGCTGCAGAACCTTTTTTTTAACAAGTTTTTGAAGTCTGTATTTGTAACAGGGTAGAGGCTAGGGTGTAGATGAATTCCGACAGCTCACCTGCTTCTTTCTATTTCTCTCACTCAACCTGGCGGTCCCAGCCCTGCTCAGACCTTCCACCCGGGGCTGGGCAGAGCCAGGTGTGGAAACACCCACACTCGCTGGCTGCTGTCAAGTGCCCCTCTGCGAGCTTAGTGGTTTTCAGAGTCTTATTTTCTCCTCAAAATAGCTAAAAGGAAGGAAAGCTCATCATTCTCAGTTACCCAGTGCTTTCTTGAAAATGAAAACTGAAGACAGAGACTGCTTTGATTAAATTAGGTCAGTGGAAATACTATGTGATGTGTATGATTTTTATGGAGCTCTGGTGGCCTGTGGTAAGGAGTTAGTTACATTGCAAACCCAAAGGCAGACAGTTTGACTCCTTGGGAGAAAAATGAGCCGTTTACTCCTATGCAATTTACAGCCTCTGAAAACCCATTAGAGGGTCAGCTATGAGTTAGTTCTGACTTGATAGCACATAAGACACAGCATACACATAGGGTTTTTACAGACATATCTTTTTTAATAGGGTATTTAAAATTGTGGGATATATATATACATATATATATATAAAATGAAACATTTTAACCAGTCCTCACATGGACAACTCAGTGATATTGAATATGTTGATCACCTTATTATTATTCAGCCATCACTATTAACTGAATTAGCCATTGACTAATTTTTTCCATCACCCTTAGCACAGGTTTAGTGAGGAAAGGGTGGAGAAACTTCATCTCACACACTTTGGGGAGATTTTTAGGAGGGGCCAGTCCTTGGAAGCCAACATGATGCTTGAAAAAGTGAAGAGTCAGAGGAAGAGAGGAAGACCTTCAACAGTGGATTGACACAGTGACTGTAGCAAAGGGCTCACACATCAGCCATGGCGAGGGCAGCACAGGATAGGGCAGAGTTAAAGGCAAGGTTCAGATTCCTTGTTCACAGAATCGATAGGCGTTGCCGTCAACTCCACAGCACCAAACAACAAGAAGAACATTTGTTGCTGTTATGTGCCATCGAGTCAAGTAGTACTCACAGCAAACCTGGGAAGAGCTGACCTGAACCCTACTCTATCCTGCGCCAAGTTGCTTTACTAGTTTCTTGATTATTTTTTTTAAACTAGCTGTGATATATTGTATTGAGAATGCTGAATCCTGCCTTTTTTTAAAAAAATTTTCTTTTTATTATTATTTTGTGTGTGTGACTGGTACAGGATCTGACTGGTACAGGAGGAGATTGTCCCCCCTTCTCCAGCACAGCATCTGGTGGATTTGAACCACTCACCTCTGGGATTGCAGTGCAGCTTCTTGCCACTAGACCACCAGAACTTGCCTGACTCCTGCCTTTTATTAACATTATTACATAAGCCTGCACTCCTCTACCACAGCATCTCTGCCCCCTTGTCATTGTTGTTATGTGCTGTTGAGTCAGAACGACTCTAGGCTGACCCTCCAGCAAGTTTTCACAGGCCGTAAATTGTAAATTGCAGTGGAAGAGATTGCCCATCCTTTCGTGACCCTTTGGACTGGCCGCTCTGCTCCTTGCCGCTTGGCCGCCAGAGCTCTGGCAGTCTTACTGTAAACCTAACGTCCATTAGCGGTGGATTCTCCATTGAGCAAATGGACGCAAACTCTTTAAACCAACTCCCCTACTTGCTGAATATGTGGGTTTTTTTGGGTTTATAAAAACCATTGTAATGCACAGCTTTGTGCTTAAAACTATTTCCATAGCTTTTCTATTTTCTTAAGGAGCCTTGGTGTCTCAGTGGTTAAATGCCCAGTGGTTAACTGAAAAGACAGGACAAGCCCCCAAGCTGCTCTGTGGGAGAAAGCCGAGGCCGGTAAAGATTGACAGCCTTGGGAACATCTGGGGGCCTTTCGTCTCTTCCCCATAGGGTCACTGTGAGTTGGAATCAACTCATTGGCAGGGGATTTGGGTTATTTCCTTAGAGTCTGTTTCCCGCAGTGGAATTCCTTGGTTGGAGGATATCTGCATATTTTGAAATCCACAGAGTGGAATGACTCCCTCCTTGGTCTTCTCATGGGGAAAGAATTCCTCCCAAGGACCCCATGCTGCTCCAGTGAGTGCTCCAATTGGGCTCTCTTCCTGTGTACTGTCCGCCCAGCAAAAAGCCCGAAGCAACGTTCAGCAGATTGTTTATTCCATTTGGATACCAGGCTAGGAGCCAATGACAGATTTGGAGCCAACTATCAATTATTTATCATAACAAGGACAGGAATAGGCCGTCGATATAAAAAGAAGCCCAAGGAAAAACCCCAAACCTTTTTTGACATTGGTCTCCCCTCCGTAGGGCATCCGGTTGTCCCTGACATTTGATACAATGGAAGACGACCACCTTAGTCCTGCCTTTGGGCTAATTGACAATCAGTAGGTCTCAAAGTGGGAAAGTCGAGGAATGGGATGAGGCCTGCAGCCCTGGCTGCCTCAGCCTAGTAGAAGGGCCCCTTCAGGAAGGAGACTCGACTGTACCTTTGAAGATCAGTATCACCATCTCATCTTTCTCTGGGCTGTCAAGTGACTTTACTCAGTTGCTGAGCGCTGGCTTTGGGCTCAGAGCCGAGCACCCCGAAAGAAGCTGTGATCAGAGAGATGCCTATCTCCTTCCTGTTTAACTCTGACTTTCCTGTCAGATGAGTCATTTGTGCCCAAATAGTACCCTTGGTAGAGTGTGTGGGAACCCACCCACGTGGCAGGAGTGGGCTCATGGGTGCTGGGGGGGTGGTCTTGGGGAGGATGGGGTATTGGAAGCAAGGGGAGCAGGAGGGCTGCTGAGGGAGCACTTGGCCCTTTCTACATAATTGTATCATGAGGCCCATTTTCCTTCCTCACTAAAAGATTAGACTCTTTAGTTGATGGACCCAAGGCTTGTGTTCATTTTCTAGGTCTGTTGTCACAAAGCATCACCAACTGGGTGGCTTTAAACAACAGAAGCTTCTCTCACAGTTTGAGAGCTAGAAGGAAGACATAGCAGGCTCGTGTACTTTCTTAGGCCCTAGAAGCAGCTCCTGGGCTCTGTGACCTTCTGGCAGCCGCAGGTGGATCTTGGTTTATGGCAGCATTACTCCAATCTCTGCCTTTCCTCTGTCTCTTCTTCTTGTAAGGAGATTAGTCATACTGGATTACAGTCCACTCTGTTCTTTACGAATTACATTTGCAAAGACCTTGTTTCCAAATAAGATTACATTCATAGGCCCTGAGAGTTAGGACTTTGGTATATCTGCTGCGAGAACCCAAGTTGACCCCTAACAGCTGGTGGGGCACACCAAACGGGCAGCCTCTGCAGAGGACCTAGTGTCAGTGCGGAGGCAAGGATTCTGAAGCTTCATCTGACACGCTTTGGGCATGTTGCAAGAAGGGACCAGTCCTTGGAGAGGGACGTCATGCTTGGGAGGGTGGAGGGACAGCGCAGGAGAGGAAAACCCTCAATGAGATGGATTGACTCAGTCACTGGGGTGGTGCGGGTCGGTGTGTCGGAGACAATAAGGTTGGCACAGGATAGAGCAGGGTTTCAGACTGTTGTATATACTGTCGTTATGAGTCGCAGGCACATAACAACAGCAACAACAACATGCCTGTGCATGCCTCCATTTCCCCATTTGCATACTGGGCCAACCATATGTGTCTATTCTTTCTGGGTGTTTTTTAAAGCCATCAAGTCTTCATGCTGAGGTGTCCCTTGTGGCAAAACACAGCTGACAAGGTGAGTAGTTCTCTCTCCTTTGAGAGGAACTTGGCAGCACCAGGCCACCGTGGCAGTCCAGCTGTTGCTATTTTTGTTTTGTTTTTACTGTGTGGGCTCATTACAGGGAGAACTAAACATCTGCATGGTTTGTTGTTTTTTTTTGTCTGAAGGTTCAAGAACACCTCAAAGCGGCGAGCACTGAAAAAAGCCAAGACGAGCATGCATCCGCCATATACAATGGGGCAATTAGTTGCTGAGCGGCCCAAGGCCGCCCCAGTCCTGGATCAGCTCAACTCTCCGCCTGCGTCCCCCAGCAGCCTTGGGTCTGACAATGCTTCTTCAGGCCACAGCCAACCAGGTGCCCAGGACCCACAGAGCTCTTATGACATCAACAACAGAGACTATTTCTTCCCCAGATGAGCCAGTTCCACCAGGAGAGGTGGGATGTCAGATCTGCTGAACTGTGTGGATGATGGAGCAGAAAAGCTGGCTTAGCCAAAGGTGCTTCTTGATGACATTCCAGCTTGTCTCAGTTAGTGAGGCCTCTAGCTTCACCTTTCAAGAGGACCTTCCAGAAGGTTCTACACTGGGTAAAAAA